AAAAAAAAAAACTCCATGCCAGTTTGAAGAAGCACGCAACAGATTTCCATTCAAGAGAGTGCAAGAACATTAGCAAGCATTGTAGAGCTACGGAATTGAGGTCAGACGATAGGAGAACGAAGAAGGTCGTTTTAAGAGACTGAGTATACCTTCGTACTGCATACAGCAGCAACGGCCACGACAGGCCAAGTCAATTTAGGGTAAATAATTTGAACGGGCTAAATCTAAAAATATTGAAAGGAGAGTATTCATTTTGAAATAATGGGTGATGACATTTGTTATAAAACTAGAGTAAATGTATTCTCCTGATAGAGGAAAAATTATGTTGATACAATCGTAATAATACAATTTTATCACGAACAAAATAGTCATTTACATTCATTATTTTATAATAAGATTATTGGTGTTGGTTGATATTTATAACACTCCTCTTTGAATGACTATTTTCTAAAAATATTTTAATTAATTTAAATAAAGTCCAATCTAAACATCTTGAAGTGTATATTGTGGTCATCAGGTAATGCTGTTTCATCAGGTCACGAAAAACTCGATGGAACAAAACCTGATCATTTTGGAATCATAACATTTCTCCCTCAGAAAAACCCGGTGGGACAAGAACTGAGTATTGTGGAAGTACAACTTTGCTCCCCCTCAAATAAATCATCTTTAGTGGAGTGTCACGTGTTGCCTCGTTAAAACTTTGTCAAGAAAATTAAGTAGGAAAAAACTTGATCAAAAGAAAAAGATTACACCTACTCTAGTGTCTTCTTATTCATGAGAAATTATATCAATTATCCAGTAGTCCTCATTATACCATGAATATGCTTCATTAAAACTTTATTAGGAAAAACCCAGTGGGAGAAAATCCTAATGAAGAAAAAAAAAATATACTATTCATGTGAATACGCCATCCATACTGCCTCATTAAAAACCTTGTCAGGAAAAACTCAATGGGACAAAACCTCAACCAAGGAAAAAAAAGTATAACACTTGATCTTCAGGATCTAATCTTTGAGCCGTGTAGATGTAATTTTTTTTGTTTATTACTTAGCCTCGGAGCAAGCCGGCGGCATGTATCTCAAGAGCTGAAATAATGCTTGCTTTATTTTTTGATCGCCCT